TTAGTTAGTTAGTTAGTTAGTTAGTTAGTTAGTTAGTTAGTTAGTTAGTTAGTTAGTTAGTTAGTTAGTTAGTTAGTTAGTTAGTTAGTTAGTTAGTTAGTTAGTTAGTAGTTAGTTAGTTAGTTAGTTAGTTAGTTAGTTAGTTAGTTAGTTAGTTAGTTAGTTAGTTAGTTAGTTAGTTAGTTAGTTAGTTAGTTAGTAGTTAGTTAGTTAGTTAGTTAGTTAGTTAGTTAGTTAGTTAGTTAGTTCTCTCTGGTGAAAAACGTAACCACACCCTCCGGTCTGACCTACTAGAAGACTAACTAAAAACCTATCGAAGACTAAAAATCTTTAGTTTCTCGATACCATTTCTTTAAATTTCACATAAAATAGGAAAATTTCAATTAAAATAAAAACTATTAGGGGAGTTTTAAAGTATGGAATTACAAAATACTTTTAAAAAATTCCTTAAAAATCTACAGAATAACAAAAAACTTAATTTCAAATAAAAAGCTCTTCGTATTCTTTTTATGTTTAACTACATGACAATCATGCCAATTAAATGCTTTCGAATTGTGCTCAAGTTTTATAAACGTGATCCAAAAAACTCACCAGACTTGATATATTGCAAGAACGTCAGGCTTGTTTACTATAAAAAGTAAAACATTTAAATCTTCGTTAAACAATTTCAGCACTTTTAAATAAATGTGACATTTACCAAAGAAATAAATCACAAAATATTATTGTTTGCACCTTTTCACAGTTATCTTACAGTGCTTTATAACATCTATTCAGAAGCTAAAATGTATATATGATTTATAATTATATACTGATCTCAGTCCTTCCGGTTATCTTTCTACACAAATCATTTTTATAACTTGAAACAAGAAACTGTGGGCGTTTTATTAGACAAGTATTTGAAAAATTACAGCAGTAAAAAAGTAACGGCGTAAACATGTCAATGGCTGTTAAACATCATCATAAATCACGCTTAATAACATCGTAAACAACTGACAACAAAAAGTCAGTCTATGTCAGTCAGCTGTTGTCTGAAAGAGTTGGTGTACAAGAAAACCGCAGCATTTGAATTCAAATAAAACAAAAGACTCAAGCAACAAACTTGAATACACACACCCACACACTGACAAACCAACATAAACTTGCACGACTGCAGTCTGCTTATTCTCTGTTTCTCTACTCATCTAAACGAAAAGAAAACAGACAGCAGAGTAATAATAAACAAACCAAATAAAATGATTATTTCAAGCTCAATTAAATTCATTCAATATTTATAAAAAAATACAAAGAAATCTATTGTTTTTTATTGTGATTTGTTTGTTTATTTCATTCATTCAGTTTGACTGTCATTTCAAAAGTTTTTCATCTTATTGAGGTAGATCAGAGAGAAGCGCGATCGGCGCGCTTCTCCTCAAGTAATAAAATGCAAATTTAATGAACAAATATATAAATAAATTAAAGAAAACAAATAAATAAAAACAAACGTGATGCAATTAATAAATACAAAAACAAGAACAAAAAAACTCTTGTTAGTTGTTTTAGTACTAACAAAAATAAACAATTTTTCACGCATAACAACAAAAATCTTTCTCTCTACCCCACTCTCTCTCTCATCAATATAATAACTATTAAATATAGTGAATCATTATCAATTTGGCGCTTTAAAAAAATAAAATGATCGACAATTTTTAATAAATGAATAAATTAACTAAAAATATGAAATGCAAAGCAAAAAGTCAAAAGCAAAATTTTAATTAAATTGAAAAATTATTTTAATGAAGCGCCATTATTACCTTTTTTTACAGTTGTTGTTTTTTATTTATAGTTGCAGTTTTTTTTTTGTTAATTTTTATTGCTTCTTGTTTCTTTTTTTTCTCGTTTGAGGTCATTAACACGCTATAAAAAGACAACAGCAATAACAATATTAGTAGATAAATATTAAATGATTGCTTAACAAATTAACAGTTGCAGTTTGTTTGCATAAATTAAATTATTGTTTTTTTTTGTTCAGTCTACAATTAAGTGATTGAATAAATTAGATTTTCATGATTGAAAGATACACATTTATTTAAGAAGTTTAAAGTAGTGGTCTTTAAAGAGTGATGTCTATTTAGCGGAAATAAGTTGTATTTCAAAAACCTTTGACAAATTTTTAAATTGAATATAGTGATCGATCTATTATAAAACTAGCCACAGATATTAACGTTTAATTAGCTGATATTTTAACGATAGTTTCCTTAAATGTTTAATATATGTCAAATCAAAACAGTTTTTTTTCGAATGTATTGGAATCAGTACTTCAACTGTTTTTGAAGGCAAAAAATAGAACTGATACTATTCACTAGGTAATAAACCTGCAAATATCACCAGCATTTTCACCACTTTTACAAAGGAAGTAAATTTAACCCTTGGCGTCGGGCACTATACAAAAATCTTGGGGTTCACATTTTTGACAACCTATTCACCTCCTCAGCTCATGCCACTGCAATCACGCACAAAACGCTAACCGGCAGCACTAAGGGTATGAATAAAGTAACTTTGTTGGCAACATATAAAACGATTGGTCGGTCAGTGGATAATTATGCTGCTCTAGTGATAAACAGTGAAGACTCATTCAAAGCTACCAAAATGCTGCCCTGAGAACTGTAACGGTCTGCTTATAAATTATATCAGAACATCAAATACATGAGGAATGGAAGGTCTTCCCAGTCATGGAGCACAATATCATGTTTACAAAATAGTTCCCCCTGGGATATCACCAGAGGAGTCATCCCAACTTTAACATCACACAGTTTGATGCTCCCCTGAGGCATATAAGGAGGAATCTTCTTATATATAAGGAAACATGTGCAGTGATGTGCAGGATCCAATAGATCAGTCTTTGTATCCGGTTGCATTTAATGAAATTCGTGCTAGGACGCCGTCCACCAGTCATAGTAGGCAAATAAGGAGAAAACCTGCCGCGGAAAACATGAGCAGTTCTGGCACAACTATCATCGGAATGGCTTAATGCTTACTGGTCACACATAGACCGTGCCTCAACATGTGGTCAAGGTCCCCATGGTACCCACCACATGCATATTCAATTGTTTGGCAAACCGTACTTCACTTTGTTCAATTGATTTATGAACACAATTAGTTGAAGTAGCACAATTGTTAGGGTTGGACATTGCTGTAGATGCCCCAACTATATTATTGTATAGTTTTAGCTGTTTCAACAACTAGACAATAAAATATTGATCGACTAGCTCGCTCCTCCAAGAATCAATAGAATTGCATAGGATCATATCATATAATGTAAACACATTTGGACTAATATTGTAATAAAAATGGAACCTAAGCACAAAAACTAGAACTCAAAAGTGGACTCCGACTTACATAACTGAGAACTAAACTGAATACCATTTTGTCAGCAGGATGATTCTATTCCATGGGTAATCCGTTTGGTAGTTAGATTTTAAAAAGATATTAGAACCATATTGGACTACTCCATTATGGACAGTGTTCAACATATTAAACATATTCAACATCAGACATCCCGTCAATACATATGGTCATGTTGAAATCATTGCATTACTAATACGACCTCGGCCACGTTATATCAGGACCAAACTTTGATCAGGTTTCAGCAGGAAACATCTCGGTTAAATCGAGCTTTATTAGTAGTAGTCACATCACTGATGGTATGGAAGTCTAATCCTAAAACTGTTCTGACTACAACAGCGTAATTCAGGGGGAAGTCATGGTAATTAAGATACCCGTAGAACAAATACATCCATTTAAATTCTTTTCTTCAAATTGAAGTACATCTCTAGGGGAGAAATTTTGCCCCATGTGTTGATGTTAGGAACAACCGCGCATTTCCAAAGGACATTAATACCCAAAATTTTAATAAGTTTGTCTATAGTATTAGCGTCCCCTTTACATATAAAGGAAAGAAAGATCTGAGTCATAACATAAGATGTGATAATGTATCCATTTGTTTATGAACCAAAATTGTCTCGACATGATTGGGCAGTAGCTGGGTAAAGTTTGTTATAATTTTGTAGATATATGGTTTACCGAAATCACCTGTATTACTTCAAGGTCAACCTGGCCTCTATATGATGCCCCTACGACAAGCTTACTGTTAAGTTTTCCTAGGGAGTTGATAAGAACTCTGTTATCGGTAATAACTAGACACTGTGCTATTGGAAATCATGGAAGGATAATGGGTTTCGAGTACAATGACTACTGCAGATGTTGCCATAATAAGGAAGAAGTGTAGACGACATCTCATCTCTACTATTGAGATCAATATTTTGGTTCTGCTGTTCTATCATATATGGTTTAACTCTGAAAGAATTTAGTAGTACTAAAAAGGACTCTTACGGCCTCTAGGTGGACCTTTTATACCCAAACCTAAGTTTCTACATTAACATGGCACATATTTGAAAGTATTAATATGTAGATATTTAAGTTAAAATATATTTTAGCTATAGACATGTTTTTGGGCATTTCTTGGTTCCATGACAGAAGAAATTGTTGGTCATCAGATCAACGATAAAGTTTAACGGCTTTTTATTTTAAGTTATAAATAGGTACATGTCCAACACATATTTTATTAATTCACTACAAAACTCGCACAATTAAGCTTTTACTGTATGTTAAATGAATGCACCACTCTTCCGCTAACATTTTTATAAATTTCACCAAAATTCCCTTTAACAATTTGTCCCAAATGCGGAAAGGTTTAAGAGTCATTGCAAAGTTTTCCAATATAAAATAAAGGTTGTGAACTATAATAAATTGTGACAAAAATTACTCTAATTTCTAAAGAAATTTCCCTCAAATTATTTTCCTTAAGGTTTGTGACTTAGCTAAATAAATAGCAAATGTCTAAGCTAAAACACCAACATACAATGCTTGTCAAACTGTGACTAGGGAAATTTACTTAACATTAATGTTAACTAACATAGTGATTGGAAATTTATTTATCTGTTATTTTCTTTTCTAACTTTTAGTCGCACACCTGGTTCTCGGCAACCCTCACCAGCTGAAGAAAACCTACCACGCCCTCCCACTCTACTCGATCCCAGCCAACATTCTGGTTTTCCACCACACGCCTTTAATCACATGTTGGGCGCTGCTGGCATGGATCATCCTGGCAATAATTCCGGTTCCGGTGGACCCGGTGCCCCTGGTCAACAAATGAATTCAACATTTACTCATCATCAAATGCCACAAATGAATCAACTACAACCGCCGGTCATGAATGGTGTGGGTGGCATGCAAATGGCACAGGTAAGAATTTTGGAATAGATTTGGAAATTGACGATTTAAAGGGTTCAGTTTGTAAAACAAGAAACAATATTTTTTTTGAGCAAAAGTTGCAATTATTCTAGTCTTTTTCGAAAATATTTGAAATTCTTGCTTTAGAACAAACCTGTGTATCTATTTTCAAAATAGATGCTTTATATTGTATTGTTGTTTCAGTTTACAATATTACCTTTTTAATTATTTAAGCTACTGTAGCTTGTTTGTTTAATGATTGCTTTTATTTTTATCAGAGTCCCATGTTAAATCATCAAGGTCAAGGCCCTAATCAAATGGAATCTCCTGGTAATCTATTGCAGCAACAACCACCAAATTTTGATGTTCAGGTAAGCAAATTTTTCGAAGATTTTTGTTCTAAAATATCTAGAAATAACTAATATAATAGTCTATGTACTACGCTATAGACAAGTCCAAAGATTAATACAATGAGCTATTCCATTGACTGCTCTAGAGACTCCTCTACTTTACTCTACTCCAAAGATTTGTTGATAGATTATGTAGTTCAAAGATTAGACTAAATACTACTTTTTAGACTAGTCTATTGGCTAATCTATAGACTGCTCTATAGACTAGTCTATAAACTTATTATTCTATCGATTACTCGACTATAGTCCAAAGATTAGTCTATTAACTACTTTATACTTATTATTTAATATTAGTATATTGACTTGTAAAAAGATTTGTCTATTGATTAGTCTAGAGACTAGTCTACTGACTAATCTATAGACTAGTCTATTGACTAATCTATAGATTAGTCTATTATCTAATCTATAGACTAGTCTATTAACTAATCTGTAGACTGGTCTATTAACTGCTCCATAAACTAGTCCTTATCTTTGAACTGCTCTAGAGACTAGTCTGTTGACTACTCTAGAGACTAGTCTATTGTCTACTCTATTGACTACTCTATAGACTACTCTATTGACTACTCAATAGACTAGTCTATTGACTACTCTATAGACTAGTCTATTGACTACTCTATAGACTACTCTATTGACTACTCAATAGACTAGTCTATTGACTACTCTATAGACTAGTCTATTGACTACTCTATAGACTAGTCTATTAACTACTCTATAGACTAGTCTATTGACTACTCTATGGACTAGTCTATTGACTACTCTATGGACTAGTCTATTGACTACTCTATGGACTAGTCTATTGACTACTCTATAGACTAGTCTATTGACTACTCTATAGACTAGTCTATTGACTACTCTATAGACTAGTCTATTGACTACTCTATAGACTAGTCAATTGACTACTCTATAGACTAGTCAATTGACTACTCTATAGACTAGTCAATTGACTACTCAATAGACTAGTCTATTGACTACTCTATAGACTAGTCTATATACTAGTCTATTGACTACTGTATAGACTAGTCTATTGACTACTCTATATACTAGTCTATTGACTAATCTTTAGATTTAGTCTATTGACTAAACTCTAGACTAGTTTATTGACTACTCTCTAAACTAGTCTATTGAGTAATCTATAGAATTGTCTTTTGACTAATGTATAGAATAGTCTATTGACTACTCTAAAGAATAGTATATTGGTTAGTCCAAAGATAAGTCTATTCACTACTCCATAGACAAGTCTATTGACTATTCCATAGTATATTTACTACTCTATAATCTACTCTATTGAATACTCCATAGGCTATAGACTAGTCTATACTATGTAAATAAAAACTAGAAAGAAAAAATATAAGAAAATAAAGTTCAAATCAAAGCGTTTAAGTCCTAACATAAACTTAATACATGATTTAAACAAATGCAACATATTTTTGGCTAGAAATAACCATTTAAAAGCCATATACTACATATAAAATTTTGATTATTTTAGGTTTTAGATATTTTTTTTCTACCGAGTGCATTACCCTCTATAAGATTCAACAAATGACATCGACACTTTAATCCCCCTGATTATAAAATACACTGGCTAACATATATTTCGACATTTACACATGTAGTATTTGTAGTTTATATTCAAATAGTTGTAGCAATTTCTAGACATTCAACAGCTCAAATACAACTTTCAAATCAAACACTTTAACACACATGTGGTGGTTGGCTTTAAGTCAAAACTTTATTTCATTTCAAATTCAAGTGAGAAAAAAAGTCAGTGAAATAAAAAACTCACAAACTTCTATAATATTAAACTGACTACAGTTTCCGATTTGTTGCAATATACTACAAAAAAATCTAAAATGGAATCCTTCTTGTGTCTATAGGAAGAAAAAGTCAAGTGCAAGAAAGATATGTACTTCATCATTATCGTCATCATCGTGGTTGTAATGTTTCCATTGTACATTCTTGTTGTTGTTAGTGGTTGGTTGCTGATGGTGTTGAGAATGTTTGGAACTGTATATTTGCTGTTCTTGTTTTTTATGGTTTCCAAGCAGATTGTGTGTAAAGTTTGTTGCAAAAATTGCCTGGTTTCATTTTGGCAAGTTGTTTTCGTTATTGTTGCTGTTCATATTTGCCTGCCTATACATATGTCTTCTTCTTTTTATTTGCTGTGATTCCGTCTGGGATCTATTTTATTAATTTGAATTTTATTTTCCTCTTTTTTTGCTATTTGTAGCGGACTTGCGACATCAATTTCCTCTTTTTATATTCCATAAGGAAATCTTATTTTAAAAGACATGCATATTTGGACAATGTGTTTGAAATTGTAAAAATTTGGTTAATTTGTCAGTTTTCTTTAAGGATATTCGCTTGACATTCGAAAAAAATAACTGTTTAATTATTTTGAACTTCTAAAGAGATTTAAATATGTATATAAACAATTTAGGAATATGGATAATCATTGAAACAGACAGTTGTTCCTGAATATTCTTTCGTTCCTCTTGTTTCTGCAAATCCCTGGTATTTACTGTTATCAGAGCGAGGTTTAAAAACGACCCAGAGAGTCGTTCCGAATCGCAATTGGATGTGCTAAGATCATCTACTTGTGGATCATCTACATGAGAAGATTAGGTTACTGTCAATTGTACAACATAATGTGTTTTTGACTAAAAAAAGTCATCAAGGTTTGACAACTGCCTATTCACTTCAACATCTGATACTCACAACGATATCCAGGATTACATTTCATCACAAATCGACCAATTGTCAGTTGCAACAAATGATGCTCGCCAAAGACATTATAAAGCTTCAGGTAGAATTGAGCTTTGGGCCAAATTAAGGCATTCTATATAGAACGAGGTCTCAATAACTCTCCTTAGACCTAGAGTTAACGACCGGTGGAGTATGAATCATTACCCATTAGCTATATGTATTAGAGCCCTGCATGAGTGACTTAAATAATAAATTAAAACATTTGATTTTTTTCAAACACTGTGTTTGACTCACTCATTGTTTTATGAATGAAATGAATAGTATATTTGAAAATAAGGAATGTTAGTCAATACTCAATTCAAACGAAACAAGTAATGAGAGTGTTTGTGTGATTCAATTCAAGTAGTATACAGTGAGTGAATCGAGTGAAAGCAAAACAATTTTTAAGTTCGACAAATTAACAGATTTTTTGAATATTACTTCGAATTTTCGAACTTAATTTCGAATAGTCGAAGATAATATAGTAGCGTCATCAACTGTACTTAACACTGCCAAATTTCAGCCAATTTGGTCCACGGAAACTGGTTTTATCAGCTTTAAATTTTTTTCGAACATGAGTTCGAATTTTCGAAAATTTTTTATTTAGTTTTTTGGACTCAAAGAATAATTTAAAAGCATAAAAAATTTTTCGAACATAACTTCGAATTTTCGAACTTAATTTCGAATATTCGAACATAATATTATCTTGTCATCAATTGTACTCAAGACTACCAAATTTCAGCGAATTCGGGCCACAGGAACTAGTTTTAACAGCATTCAAAATTTTCACCATTTATTCAAGAAAAAGTTTGAATCGATTCATTCGATTCAAACAATCTATTTTGTATTGTTTTAACATAAACAAATTGTTTACTCGCTCGATTTGAATGTAGTTGCACATTCACTTGATAGTACTCACAACGTTTGAGTATAACAAAACTTTGTAAATACTATTCTAAACAAACAATGAGTTGAGTGCAAAGCAATGAGTCACTCATTGTGTGTAGCAAATAGAGTTACTCATGCAGGGCCCTAATATGTATAGTGAAAAACTATATCCAAGGTATTCAAGATCTATGTCAGCACCATTAAGAGCTGTTTGGCTGGTTGGTTATTTAACGTGGTAGTCAACTGCGCGCGAACATTCAAGTAGAGTCGAAGAGACTCGGCTTTGACCGTACCACTCCAATCGTCAGAGTAGAATATTATTTTACTAGATCCAGCCTATAGCCCTGAGAAATTTCAAAGTATCAATTAAGAGCTGGTTGGTGCAATTGACAAATGTCCCTGTAGATCTACAAATTTGCATTCCATAGAGTTAAGACCGATTGAGCAAGGTTTTATTTCTCTAGATTGGTGCATCATATACTGACACAGTTTCACAGTAATAGTGAAACTGTTACAACAACAAAGTTTATTTTCCAAACAATTATTACTTTGTTCTATCTGCCAGACTTGGCACTATAACTTGGGCCAGTCCTCTATATCTTAGTGAATCGCCTATTTCCTAGTTGGCAGAGATATTAAGGTGTTACCAATACGTCTAGTCCGTCGTGATTGTAATATGATGAAATCTTTTGACTTGGAGTGTGGTCAGAGGACCGTATCTATCTAGTACTAGAGGCTTTTCACTGTAACTTGGGACAGTAAGCACTACTTTAGTTAATCGCCTATTACATTGGTGTTATGGTGACTAAGACCACAGAACCTTTTTTGGTGTAAGTGGTGGTTGAAACCAAAATCGCGGGAAGGGAATGTTGGTATAAAGACTGATGATAAGTTTAGCGATGTTGTGAATCAACAGGATATCTCAGAGAAATAAAAGCTGGACTTGGATTAAGTTAATATCACAAGAATGGTATGCAAAATGAAGCATGGGTATGGGGTCTTCACTTCACTCGAGTTCGATATCCTATGCATGTGTTACCGATGAAAATAACATCTTTGTCCGATTATTTTCAGGGTTTATTCTGTTCATACCAGAATTGCCGCAGTATGTCCACTGCGATCTCTTGGCTACCAAAAGCGTCTCTAGGAGTTGTAGCCAAATCAATAGAGGTCATTCTATTAGTTCGATAGTAGATTGTCTTCGAGGAATGACTTGAAGATTGACTGACATTCAGTAACGGTATTTGAGCTTAGGTACTCTGTGGTTGAAAAAGTACCATCATTGGATAGGGCTACACGCTAAATACTCACCTTAACCACCCGGATTTCTG